TACCCTTGGGCACTATAATCCTGTTCTGCGCCGTTGGCTAGCCTCCGTTGTGGCAGGCCGCCGTAGCCGAAATTCGGTCTGGAGGATTGTTTTTTTTGTATTGTTTTAGAATGATGTGTTCTCCTATAATTGGTAGTACATATTAATTTATAGATGTAAAGCATTTGTTAGAAGTAATTTAATATGAACAACTGTTGGAGATCCATACAAATAAATAAATTATGTGATTTATGGGCAACAACGGTTTTGCGTCATCGGCCGAAGTTTGCTCGGGCGATGACGGCCGAATCGGACGATCGAATCAAACACTTGTAAAATTGTTTATCGCCTAGGTAAAAACAGAAAACGTTATTGGCGTCATCCATGTATCGAAAATAATTTTGTTGCGGTTCCAGGCTTTTCCCAAGATGACGAATTTTTTATTGATGTATAGAATGTCAAAAAAACTTACGAAGAGTCAGTAAAAATAATGCATTACCACGCGTTTTGAATTTAAAAGATAAAAAGGACACAATGTTTGAAATTTTTTTAATAAAGTTTTCCTCACCATTTGCCTTTATTTATTTTGAACCTTCTCTGCAAATTTGGCTGGTTATTGCAAAATAACCCTGTATATAAATTAATTTGGCTGGTTATTCCAAAATAACTCTTTATATAAATTAATTTGGCTGGTTATTGCAAAATAACCCTGTATATAAATTAATTTGGCTGGTTATTGCAAAATAACCCTGTATATAAATTAATTTGGCTGGTTATTGCAAAATAACCCTGTATATAATATTTTGCAATTGCTGTCCGTTAGGTCTCGATAAAAATCGAAAATGGCCGCACTGATTTTTATGATTTTTTAAGCGCGTTTGAGTGTGTCGATTCACAATTTTTGTGTGATTAAGTTGAGTGGTTAGATTCAACATTGGGCCCGGTAGGTGGCGCTGTTGTTGAGATTCAGAAATCACCCGTGCGATGGCAGGGGGTTAGCTAGTTAATAATAATTAATTAACGTACATCATAGAACATGATTCCTGCGCGCCTCACTCTCATGAGTTAAGGCCCTAATCGACGGGCGATCATTACCGCAGTATCCGAGGCTCGCCGGTAAAACTTATTAGTCGATCATCACAAAACCGCGGGGTTGTGAGTCGACAGGCCATCCTGGCGGCACCAGCGTTGATGTCATTTGGTACGTTGCTTCAACAAACTGAAGAATAACTGGCTTTCCAGTGTAACAGTAACGACGAGTCGAGAGTAACACAACCGTAACCTTTACCGTAAGTAATCGAAGTCTGAAATCCCAAGCGTTTAGTATAATAGCAACTCTTGACAATGGACAATTGGATGAAGGACTCCATGAAGACTGTCAAACTTCAAACAATATAATATTAGGGAATGCGATTTTAAATAACATACACATTTCCTTTGTATATGTTACCGGAAGCACCCGATTTCAGGCCAAACTAGTTTGTCCTAGGCCAAATCACTAAAATATCAGGATATACTAGTTTAACACAGGCTAAACTGGTTTGGCCTAGGCAGAACTGAGTAATGAATATAATATTTGTTAAACGTTAATATTCTTAACGTATTGGTATATTTTCGTAATTAGCCTTAACTGTTTTAGTTTGTACCAAATTCTTACTTATTACGATTTCTTATATTTACGCGAACACTACACATTTAAATCAGTCTCGCCCGTGACCATGGGTGCTGTAATGTGCTCGAAACGTCGGGTTTTTAAAAAGCGATAAAATCCGTAAAAACTAGTATTTCTTACCCATTATTAAACTGTTTAAGCATTTTTACAATTTTTTTCTATAATATAAAATACTTTAAAATTTTTATGCATGATTCCCTTTTTATAATTTCAGTTAATTAGCATAGTCTTACTTTCTTAGGTTAGGTTAAGTTAGGTTAGATTTGACTCGGCAGCGGGCTAGAAACATCGTGGTAGCACTGCGAGAGTGATGGATCAGCAAGTACTGCCCCCGGGATACGTTATTAGTCTAGCAAAGCTATGGAGGGGCCGGTTGCGTTTCGAACGGTGATCTAGGGACCCCTCGTATACGCTGATGTTGACCACCGTGGAGTTTTAGCCGGTAGAAGTTTGGCATAACCTTCTCGTTGCCTCCGCAACGAATGGTATTCACGAGGAGATCCTCACGAAAAAAGTTTAGATTTGATTGGGTTAGGTTATATTAGGTTAGGTTCCGCCCCGAACGGGTCCCCACCTTGACGTGAGGGGGCTTAGTAACCGTGGCTTGGTCACCAGCGGTGAGCAACGAGGAACCTACTTGGCTGGCTGACACAAGGTGGCTATTTCGAGCGGGCTTGGGGAGCCCATTTCGGATGTGTGTTGGTGGACTCTGCTCTGACGGGCCCGCAGTGTTGATGCGGAGGTGTTAGGGTCGCTGGGGGAGAGGAGTGTCGGTATTGCGAGGCACTGCTCTCCCTACCGCCGCGGCCGAGATTTAATTGGCAGCGGAGTCAGAGACCAGATACACTGGTGAGGTCGGGAAGGCTATTGCTTTTGAGTGCTCGTTTTTCCTGGTCCCATGGCCTCCACTTATCGGACTCGGCGGAATGCGATACGTAATCGGAGTTATGTCGGAGTTAGGTCGCGGAGGATGGCGTGCTTTGTGTTCCTGGTGCGCCTTACTTAAAAGTAAAAGGGGGGAACAGAAGTCCTCTTCGAGAAGGGGCTGCCATGGTGCTAGGGTTTTAGTCAGTGCGCGTCCCACGTAACCCGTCTTTGCCCCCCCCCCCCGCCCCCGAAGCGTAGTCATTTCCCCACATAAAGAAATGTTTGGTTAGGTTATGCAATGATTCAATCAGTACTGCCTAGGCCAAACTAGTTAAGCCTTAAGTATTTAGGCCATAGTTATTTTGTAGTAAAAGGCCAAATTTGCAGAGAAAGTTCAGAATAAGTAATGTAGGCAAATGGTGAAGAAAATTTATTAAAAATAATCTCTAAAAATTGTGTCCTTTTTATCTTTTATATTCAAAATGCGAGGTAATGCATTATTTTAATTGATTTTACTGCGCACCCGGTACATTACCTTACATTCGTAAGGGTCGATCGGTAGGTACGTTGTTTCCCATAAATCACTCAAACAAAAGTAGAAGCACACAATCAAATAAAAGTAGAAGCCTTATTTAATCGTATTTTCAAAAATTGTAATAACGGTACATCATTGTTTATATATTTGAAGTAAAGTTTAAAATTTGGCTACTCTTTGAAAAATTACCCTATATATCATACATATTGTATGAGCGTTTGTTGCTCCAAATAAATAAAATTAAAACAGGCCAAAAGGTCAAAACAATTATTAAAAACCCTTACGGCGTAAAATAGTTTACTGAAAAAAAGAATGTTTTTTTATATCCTATGCCACTTCTACAATTAAGACGGACATGCGGATTTTTACAGATCTTTTTGTTTGTACGTATGTATGTAATTACTCTTAGGTTTGTACTACGTAAGAGAGACCACATTCATAATCAAGCTTATATAGTACACTCCAGCATCTTGTAGAGGGATATTGCACTTGATGGATGGTAAGAACTGACTAATCTTCTTCGGCGGCTTGTAGTAAGTTCTTATGGCAGCCCGCTTGAAGATGTAGCCAATCTTGTCTGTGACTCCTCTGATATAATATGGTAGTACAGCAGGCACACGCTCCTTTGTCACCGGTCGGTCACTGTGACGGAGACGCTTGTCTTCCTTAGCTTGTCATCGCGCTAAACATGCTCAGCCCGGTGACTAGGTGTTTACTTTTCGTTATCTTTATTTCAATTCACTTATTTAATAAGCAGAATTACTTCCAACTCTTCTAAAGATTCGGAAGTAATTTTGCTTATTCCTGGCAGAATTACTTCCTGGCAGAATTGCTTTTTAGCTTTTATTGCTAAAGATTTAAGTCTCCCACTGGACCCAGTCACCACATTTACATGCTAATTAAAGATTGACGGCCTTCCTTGTTAATTGACACTTATATCTATACTTGTCTCTTTTTATTGGCATTTAGTAAAAGGAGTGAGAGCAAATTTAAGAAATATTTGTCCAAGAAAATTTCTATACCTGTCTCGTTTTATTGACATTTAGTGAAGGGAGAGAGAGAATAAATTTAAGAAATTTATTTACCTGTCTCTTTCTATTAACATTTAGTAAGAGCAAATTTAATAAATGTCGTTAAATTGACGTTTCTTTTATGATTAAGACCGATAGTAGGTATGTACTTTAAGAACAATGTAAAAGAGCCAGGTATGATAAATTATCTCATTGTCAGAAATCTTATCAAGTGCGATAAAATATACTTTCAACAGTGTTTATTTATATATTAAAAACATTTTTCATGATCGGTTGTACAAACGGCTGCCGTAGTCGACAACATAAAATTCATCACGCCATCTAATCCTCTCAGAATTGCATATATCAAGGGTACTAAGTTGGGACGGGCCTCCTCAAATTTATACGAGGGTTATGGTGCTATTGAACCAGAATAAGTAGCTATTAAAGAGCAATAGCAATGCGTGTTGGTAGACTCCATGTGTCTTCGAAATATTTTAATTCCTCAGACATGTAGGCAATGTAGATTTCTATTCCCTGTCGTTCTTTTGGTAAATAAGACTCTTATTTGGTGGACACGGACGAGAAACCATCGCTCTATTCAAGAGCTGCATATAGGAATTAAAAAATGTCACAAAAAGATGTAGTGAATTATTTAAAAAAAAAACCTCGCGAGTAAACACGCGTGGGAAAACTGTGTCCACGAGATAAACGATACGCTCTAACAGTATCCTCTTAAGGCAGTCCTTGGTACGACTTCAAGCGACAATTCATTCAAAGCAATCAACCTGTCACCCAACAATTGAACAATTTAGCAATCAACAGGTGCGTCGCGTCCTGCCTTCCCCACGTCCAGACAAACCGCTCTGCGCAGACAATACACCGAAATATGATCAAGTGCTGAACCTGTGAATAGAAAGAAAAACGTAGTGCCAGGATGCTCGTGCTCATGGTGAGCTTGGCTGTGTTAGGTAAGTATTAGTAAATACTGTGGTCTAAATTGGACGTCAAAACGTTAAGTTTTTGATCTATATAATTTGTGGTTTTGATTAGGATAACTTTTACGTAATAATTTTCTTGTGTATATAGAAAGGCAAAGGCGCAAAGGGATATTGGCTCATACAGCCTTAATCGTGTTAAAAATGCTTTCATTAATTTGGTTGTAACGTATAGAAAAATTGTATGTAAAAAAATTCCTATTTATAATAAATATTCAAAAGTTTCAAATTCAAACATAATGATTATTATTACATAATAAATCAATAAATTATGTTTTTCATTTAAAAAGAAAGCCTTTAATATGGTGGTATAAAAATTTTATATGGTGCATGGTCGTGTGATGATGTTGTTAAAGAATCCTACACCGCCATCAGGAAATTCTACAATGAGAAATTCCAAAAAGGTTTATGGCTTCCAACAGAAGACAGTATAAGCATTTCTTTACCACAGGCGTAATATACTCCGACCGGCGACGAGCAGATTCTCTTTAAAATGCCAATTTCCTTGTCCACATCCCTACGGGTTGATAAGAAGGCTAAAAATAACCTTTAGTGAAAGTACAAAATTAAAGTTGAAAAAAGGAAAAACTGTGGGAGACTATGATGATGGCTATGCAGAAAAAACCATCCAAAACACTATACCGAATTTCACAGATTGGTGATTGACAGCATTACCAGCGCGAGGGTATTCTTTCAATGTTTCAAGTGATGCATGTCCATTGGCTTATTCTTAAAAAGGCGTATATCCAGCTGTGAACTTAGAAGACTGTAATACGCAACCAAATCTAAGAAATACCTTTTTACAGCCGTCATATTTATTGAACTAGGCATTCACTGACCTCTATATATACAAGTTCATGTAGGCATTCCAACTGAAAGTTCGGTACTTACAATATTCTGTTCTTAAGAGTACAATCTAGTATTTAGGTTTTGAGGTATACCTGACGAGAAGACGTATCATAATTTTCCAAACGCTGCCCAGCCAAGTTGAATCCGTCAATTAATTTAACTATTTTAATGGACTTTTTTATTATATGCGAGCAGCTATGCAGGTCTAGGTAAAGAGACCTGCTCTGCGACCTAAAAGATCTATTGTGATCGCTGATATGGCTATAGTTCACGGCTAAGCCCTATGTCTTCAATGAATCGAAGGAGTTGCTTAGCCGTGAGCAATTTCACTTATTCTGGGCGAAGTAGATAGTGTTCCAGATGAGTGTTACGTTTGTGTTACTGCAGTGGATCATATACTTTGAGGCATTATAAAACTTGCGTTTTGGGTCATGCCTCGTCTTAAGGGTCCGCAATCGGTTAGGGTGTTTAGAGGCGTTTCTTCCGTTATGGTACAGAACCGACACATCCTTGAGTTGCTTAGTCCCGGGATGGACATGTGCTTTTTAAGACAACAGTGTCCAGTTAGGGCTCTTGCCAGAATGCGCAATTTATTTTTACTTAATCCCAGGGCTTCTGAAACGAATTTACGATCAAAAGCCGGATTAAGGTTTTAGAATGTTTTAAGCCTGGTGTGTCAGACCAGATCTTAAGTGATTTATTGTGATAAAGAGTTTCAAGGGTCAGTCGAGCAGTGCTGCTTGACTATCAGAGTTTATGTAAATTTTATGGTGTACGTAGTGTTTTTGCAGATTGATTTCCGCACACCGAAGTATGGCGAAAATTTCTGCCTGGAAGATAGAGGTGTATCTACCCAAATTCATACTAAGTTTGAATTTGGGGCGTTCCCCGTAAATTCAAAAGCCTACGTCGAGGCCCATTTTAGACCCATTTGTATACCATATGAGGCTACAGACCTCACAGATAACCTGGCCATTCAGCCAGTTTTCTCTGGAGGGTAATTCCACTATATACTTTTTATCAAAAGTGTGTAGTGGACGCATGATATCTGAGATCATGCATAAGACCGGTGATTCCTTAATTGAGTCAAGCATGGATCTCAATCTGTAGGAGAGCAAGCTCAGACCGCCCTGGGCGCTAATCCTATACAAACTAGCCTTCGCCTCCTTGTCTAAATAATGATCAAGGGGCGTTAGACATAAAAATGCATTAAAAGCTGCTCCAGGCGATGATCGTGTAGCACCAATTGCCATTAAGCAGGCAGTCCTTTGTAGACGGTTTAGTCTGTCCGCAGTCGTCTTTTGGTTGGCCTTGTTACACCAGACAATAGAGGCATACGTGAGAATTGGCCTCACTATGCTGCTGTACAGCCATAGGACCATACTGGGACGCAAGCCCCAGTTGTTCCCGACCAAACGACTGCACGTACCTAAAGAAATTTTCGCCTTATGGCATACGTTGCTAAGGTGAGAGTTCCACGTTAGTTTTTGGTCGATTGTTACGCCCAAGTACTTAACTTCCGTGGAAAATGGTACTTCTTTGCCATTAAGTTTTGGTTGGACTAATTTGTCCAACCGTCTCTTTTTGGTATTATAACAGTTTTATCAGTATTAACTGATAAACTGTTATCCCTACACCAGTTATTTATGGTTTTTAGGGCTCTTTGTATTATTGACGCTAAAGTACTTTGGCAAAAGCCCCCTCGCAATGATCACAAGGTCATCAGCATAACCCAATGTGTCAATGCGTAGGTCTGCCATTTTGTACAATAGTTGGTCAACCGCAAGAGTCCAAAGAAGGGGTGACAAAACACCTCCTTGTGGGCAGCCTCTTGTGGTTGCAACCTCAATCGAAGTTTGAAACAGCGCTATTTTTGCCTTTCTGTTTGAGAGCATCGACTTCACCCATCTGATGGTTGTGGGGTCAACATTTTTAGATGTTAGGCCCCCAATTACCAGTGATGTGGGGCTACTGTCGAAGGCGCCCTCAATATCTAGAAAGGCACAAAGAACTCTTTCTTTATCCTCCAGTGCTTTTTCGACCCTGTCAATGACACTGATCAGGGCTGTTTCCATAGATTTTCCTCTGCGGTAAGCATGCTGGTTGTAATGTATGGGCCTCGTAGCTAGAGCTACATCCCTTATACATCTATCTATTTATTGGACTTACCTATTCGGACTATTTGTCCCAGGTAAACGTACTCATCAACAATTTCGAGCTTAGTGCTTCCAACTACTACCGGCATAGGTGTGACAGGTACATTAAACATGATCTTTGTTTCGTCCATGTCATATTAAGACCTATCCGTTGGGAGACATTATTGAGATCATTGAGCATAGTGAATCAAAGGCTTTCTCATAGTCCACATACGCCAGGCAAAGTGGCAGAATTTACTCTTCGGTCGTCCGTGAAATCTGGTGCAGGGTATGTATATGGTATATGGTGCTGAAACTTTTTCGGAAACCGGCTTGTTCGGGAGGCTGGAAGTTGTCGAGTGTGCATGTGAGACGATTCGTAATGACTCCCGAAAACAGCACGTAGACGCGGCTCAGATTGAAAATAGATGTGTAATTCTTCACTTCTGCTCCACGCCTCTTGAGTAGTGCCACCATGGAGGCAGAATTGAAAAGCATCTGAAGTACTTTAAGTACCGGTCTTCCATCTGCTTTTAGAAGCACCGCTGTGATTCCATCCTCGCTTGGGGCCTTGCCGTTTTTAAGGTGCTGGAAAGCCATTATATGATATCATCCGAATAGTGTCGGATAAGACTTGCTCTTGGATCGTTACTCACACTTGCATGTGGCTCTAACAATTATATGTCCAACTGCTTAATTAAAACTATTTGACAAACAGGGCCGGCATATTTTCTGGGACTTTGTTGTAAATGCGTATAGTACCTACATTGCACAATGGTAGAATTACTGACTCTTGAAGTGAAGTAACTGATTTTAATAGCTTGCAGTAATAGGAACGTATCCTTCACATAGATCACTATTTTTCATTTACGTTAGTGTAGAGTCACCAACATAAAATGCGTGTGTGTCATCCGTAGTCATAGGTTAACGACGGAAAGCAAATCGAGACGTATCACCATAGTATTACCATCGACACATCTATTGTTTTATATTGTCCTAGGATATCTTAGACGGTGGAGGACTTACCTAGGAAGTCGTACACGGTGTTGTATTTGAGCGACATTGTTTCTTTTACTGTAAGCCGGGAATCCTTTACACCTTTATCGAACTCTTCTGCACACATTTTTCTACAATAATATTATTAAATTTGTCCTAAACGTCACTCTTTACAGGCAATTTGTTTATACAACAATGGTTACAAACGAGCACGCAGTCCACCTGATAGTAAGTGGACACTGTGGCCCATAGATTCAAGAGAACCCAAATGCAGATACGTATACTCCTCGGTACCTCGATACACCCCGGACTAATATGGAATCGTAATCAAAAAAATCGTATCCAGTGAAAGGGGTTCCCGGTTTTCTACATTCACCATATTAAAGATATTACGCTAGTAGCTATTCTGTGAGAGCGTAGTCCCACCCCAATCGAGCCAACCCATTCGTGCTACAACCATAATAATATAGCCGCAGCATCGCTCTACCAAAAATTATGCAAAATTAGTAGCTCAGGGGCTACGCTCGCTGTAAAATGTACAGTACCCGGGTTCAATCTCCGGAGGCACCAATGAAATTTTTAATATTAAGTGCTGATTTACCACGTCCTCGGCGGTAAATGAAAACATCGTGAGGAAACCTGCATGTCTGAAAAACTAAAAAAATATTTCGATGACATATTAAGTCCGCCAACACTCATTGGGGCAGCGCGATGGACAATTCCTTGCCTTATCCTCTCAAAAATGAGAGGAGGCCTGTGCCCAGCAGTGGGACACATGAAGGCTGTAAGTTTACCTTTTTAATTTTAGTATCGTATTGTTTAGCACTCACGCAAAATCTACAAAATACCAAATTGGAAAGGAGAAGGATCTCTCGGCTTTGGTAGAATAAACCCTACTTTATCTTCCCAAGAGAATTTCTGTCTGAACCTATCAGTAGGACTTTTGCACTTTTCTTTACATAACTTTTAAAATCTGTCACAGGTACCTTTTAA